CCCTCCAGCCAAGTGAGAGAAAATGGAGGACGAATCCTGCTCTGACTGGGCTGGGCTGGAACCTGAGTTTCTAAAAGAGCTGTTTCCAGGGGTCACTGCGGGAGAGGTGAGTCGCGGGGCCCTGGAACAGGACATTCCCCCTGACAACTGCTCATGATTCCAGCTTCCCGGCGGCACTATACCTGGCTACTCTTGCCTCTTTATTGCTCATTCAATATTCATTCGTCAAAGGGCAAGTTGCTAATGTGTATTATTAAAATATCAATAGTTTATGAGTGAACTTTTACGGAAGGTACAGCTAAAGGAAAGGTTCTTGACCATCTATGGCAGAAGAAATGGAGAGGAACAACCTTCCAGCTCCACCTTTTATTTATTCAATGGGTGGGTGGGTGAGTGACTGAACCATGTTGGTAGCTATAGGGTGCAGGAGTGACTCGAGGGCTGTCATTTCATTTAGTCTCACAGAGTCCTCAGGAAGCGTGTACAATCCATTCCCAGTCTAGAGATGAGAAATGTGCCTGGGATCGTAAAAGACCAAAGAGATGTGCCTGGGATCGTAAGTCACAGGTGGGATTCAAACCCAGCTTTGGACTTCAAACCCAACGTATCCCCCCAAGTTGGAGCCTTAAAGACGCAAATGATCTTTATGTGTTTACTTGTTTCCTTCCTTGGGTGCCCAAATGAAACATTAGTCTCCTCACCTGAGTTTCCCAGAAGAGGGAAGGAGAGAACAGAAAATCATTACATGCTTCTCACAGATCCAGTTCAAGAGAGTAGGCCCCACTTTACATACCTAAGCACGTTCCCAGAATCTTTTCTGCACATTTAGAATCTCAGAACTGGGGGTGGCACTGGATTCGACACAATCAGACATCCCCACTTTATAGGAGAGTAAACCCAGGTTCTTGGCGCCACACAATGAAGTGGTTTCCTAATTTGATTTCAACTCTGTCACTAACTTTCTCTATCACTTACCAGGGTATTTCTAGTGTTCTCTGAGCCCCGACCTTTTCCATAATATGAAGATAATAACAGCATCTCATAAAGTAGTGTAAGGGTGCAATGAGAAAATTCAGTCAAGTGCCTAGCTTAGTGTCTGCAGGTAGTAAGTGCTCAATAAAGGTTGGTTATTAACATTACTATCAAGCTGACTTGTGGAAGATACCAAGACTCCCTCCAAACGCCAGTATCTTCCCAGCAAAACCAAGCCCATCACGCCCTCTCTTCTCTGCCCCTCCTTTTCTGCATTAGACACTCTCAGATCGCGGTTCTTTGGGGAAATGGACTGACTCCGTGTCCACTCTTTGTTTGCTTGAGATTTGTTTCTATCCCCTTAAGTCACAACAAGGCATCCAGAGCACTATAATTCTCTTCCAAATTTAGTTGCATCTGTGTTGGGAAAAAGACAACGGAAAGGAACTAGGTCCTTCAGGATCCCCCTGTCCCCGCCACTGCACCCCTGACAAATTACAGGGTGTGGGGGAGGGAAGAAGGGAGACAGAGAACAGAGGTGGGGCAGGAAGGAAGGGTTGGCCATTACCGCCCCCCCCCCAACCTCCTGTCCCCAGCACCACCCTTGCAGCCTCTTAAGCCCTGATCCTTGGCTAGACTGTACCCCAGCTTGGAAGGCCATGAGGTTGGGGGTGTGGGGAGCCCTGGATAGGAATGAAGGGCTCAAGGCTTGCGGAGCCCTTGGTCACAGGTCTAGGCCCCTCTCCAGACCTGGCACGTCAAACTGTGGGTTGCACACCAGAGCTGGACTACAAGGTGGAGGCTTCCACCAACTGCAGGGCCTCCTGACACCTCATGACCTCAAGAAGTCCCATCTTGGGAGGAGAGTCTCTGGGGGGCCTTTAAACCCTGAAGTCTGTGAGTTAAGAGACAGTTTCATTATCTAAGGCAAAGGTTTCTTTAGCCTATCCTTGGAAGTAGAGGAGGCCACATGGATCCAGACTCTACAAACACAAGTTGTAGTGGACTATGTTCCCCAAAGGCGGCTGCAACAACTCACACCTCTCCCCACCCATCTCTTCTTCAATGAGCTGCTGGACTCCCTGTGAGACATGGCGGGGGAGTTCCAGGGTCCGGTCTTTAAACCTCATGGCCTCTAACCGCCATGGTGAAGAGACTGTGGTGAAGGTGACACTGCCTGCCTCCGGAGAGTAGGTCACAAAGGCAACAGAGCTTCTGCCTCTCTCTCTCTCTCTCTCTCTCTCTCTCTCTCTCTCTCTCTCTCTCTCTCTCTCTCCCGGGAGGCTCCCTCTTGCAATCTAGCCACCAGACTGCGAGGAAGCCCAGGCTACACGGAGAAGCCTGGATGGTGGTCTGGCTAATGTCTCAGGCAACGGCTAGTATTCAACTCCCCAAATTATGAGCCTTTAGAGCAAGCATGTCAAACTCACAGCTCACAATGAATATTTCTGCGACCCAGCCAATGTAACAGTATGTGAGAAACGTTTTAATAAAAATTTCGTAACTTAATTTTCACAATATCCTGTTATACATAATTATTAATAACGAACTACAACATTCACTAATGACTGGTTACTATAATAGTTTTGCATTCATTTTCTACATGCCTTATGTGCAGGCGCACCATTTCTCTCCACTAATACCAGCAGTGAATATTTTAGCAACTGACTGCCACGTCATTAGTCTTAGGCTGATTTGTTTGGTGTGTGCAACAGGAACTATTTTGCTTTCGGAGAACAAGAAAAATAGGTTTATTTGCATTACACTTATTAATGTGTGCAGTTAATCAGTGTCTGGTAAATTGATGTTCAAGAAAAAAATATGAATTTTTATTAAAATGTTCTATTATTTTATGTTAACAATTACTCATTTATTTCAGCCCTTTGTCTTCAGCAGTCTCGATCAAAAGAAATCTACATTTCTATGAAAATTGAAGCTTTTGTTGTAAAAGCTTAACTTAAACATAAACTTAAACCTTGTTTATTTGGCCTGTGTCAGCCTTTGAGTTTGACATGCTTGCTTTAGATGATTCTAGCACCCAGACTTTTATCTGCCCCAGCAGAATCCCAGACCTGATGGAATAGAAACCAGTTGTCCCTACTGGGTCCTATTTGAACTCATGCCTCACGGATTATATGAGCATAATAAACGTTGTTAAGTTGTTAAGTTTGGGGGTGGTTTGTTACACAGTCGTACGGACTGGAACACCACTGAGATTAAATTAGGATGTTTGTTGTTTCCCACTCAAATACAGCCTCGCTGGTCGTCTCTCTGAGACACCACAGTTTCCGGCTTTTCCCTCCTCAGCTGGTCCCAGGCCCTCTGAACCTGCCTCTCCTCATCCTCTTCCCCCCACACTTGAAAGATCATTTTAATCTTCCCGGGTCTGAGTCGTGGAACCTGAAGAAACGAGTTTTTCCTTGTTACTCTGTGCAGTTTTTCCTTGTATCCCTGCCAGGGAGGTGTCCCTGGGTGTGGGTGGCCCGGGAGCCTGGTGCCCGCAGGGACAGGCAGAGAACATGAAGACCTATTCCCCCCCATCCGTGGCTCTCATTAAGGTTCACGCTCAGCTTGCTCCTCGCGTACTTGACTTGACTTATGAGGTCCCTCTAACCTCCGGTGCGAGGAGACATCGATTCTCACAGAGGTCATTATCTTTCTGCTCTGGCTCCCTCACCCCAGCCCTGTCTCTGAGGTAGGCTTTCCTGGAACAGGATGAGGGAGGCGCCCTTCCCCGCCCCCTGGACCTGGGGGTCCAACCACTCCAGACCCTGGGCTGGAGAGGAGGTGCCCTGGGAGCCGTGGCCGTCAATCACAGAGGCGACCAGCACTAAATCGCAGACCATTAGGCGGAGGGCCGGCGCCCTGCTCACTCACCGGGCAGCCATCGGCAGGATGTTAGATGATCGCAGGGCGGCCATTCTTATGATTTATTCAAATACTCATTACAGGCAATCTATTTTTACACAGAGGTGAAGATGTGTGCTGATAACGGTTAATCATTTATAATTCCATGGACTGGTTGGAAGCCAATGTACTATCAAAGTTGCAGCAGCAGCTTCGGCCCTGGCAGCCCCAGAGCAGGGCGGAGAAGCTGGGGAGCCAGGGAGCAGCCCAGGCCCAGCTCACACCTTCAGTGCAGCACGAGGCTGCAGGACATAAGAGGCGGGAATCCCAGATGAGCCCCACAGCCCCAGCCTGGGCCAGAGGATGCTCTACATGCGACTGCAGAGGGATTGCAGAAAAGGGTCCAGCTGGAGCCACCGAAGAAGGCACCACAGAGGAGGCTGGACTGAGGCCGGGTCCTACAGGTGTGTGAATCTTGCCAAGTGGGAGAACCAATATGAACCAATAAGCACAAGGATAAGGTAGAAGGTTGCTGTGTAATGGAAGGGAAGCGACGGCGGTATTTCCTTGTCCTTCCTCACCCTTCCCTAGAAATAACCAGATGTAACAACAAGGGCTATGACCTGAACCCAGACCCTCCTATTTCTGACCCCCACGCTTACTCCATAGACGATAGGGGCTGGGGCCTGGGTCAGTATTGCAAATCCAAGAGCTGCCCTCTCCGACACATCTGACACACATAACATGGCATGACCACCCACTGCACCATCAATAGTCTAATCAGTGTTTCCCAAAGTGTGGTACGCGTACCCCCAGGGGTACGGGAAGAGTTTGGTGGGGGTATGCATTGCACCGGAGTTTGGTGGGGATGTGCACTGCACATGCTTAGCTGCGCCTAATTCTATGTTCTCATGAGTACGAGGGGTACTCAGCGTTATGAAAATTATAGAAGGAGTACACATATGTCAAAAGTTTGGGAAACACTGGTCTAAGTAAATAGAATGTTGTGTTGTCACATTCATACTTAAGCTAATGAGAGGCCCACAGTAGTTTACATTCTGACTGCCCCACTGTTGATTTCTCGTGCACAGTGCATGGCTGTTAAAGATCAGGTTCAAAACTGGTCTTTAACCCGTAACCTTATTGAGTCACCACAGAAAACGCCGATCAAATTTACTTACAGTTCACAGTCCCTCTTCTGATGAGTGGCATGGAGGACAGAAAGCCTCAGAGTCCTGCTCCAGACTTCACCTGTCAACGAAAGAAAACATTTTTATAGACCGAGTACAGTTCTGCTGGGAGGGAGCCAAGATGAGGATGACAGTACAATCAGAAGTAGGTCTTGCCAGGAGCAAAGCCAGCCCTGCAGCCCTGTGCCCACTGTGCTGAGTGGTTAAGTCTCCTGAGCAAGGCACTCCTGGTGCAAAACGATGATTTGTAGACATCTAACCAGGACAAAGAGACAGGACCGCCCTCTCTTACCTGCTTGTGGCCTCGGTTTCGTTGAGTTCCACCCCCATCTCTATAGAAATCCCAGAGAAAGAGAGGCTCCTGGCTGTGGAGAGCCCTGAGCTGGCCAGACAATCATTGTTTACTGACACCTCCTTGTCTGATGGGAGACCCCAGGCAGGGGACAGAGCTGAGCAGCCCCCCAGGGAATGTGTAGTCTATGGGGAGAAGGCTGCAAAAAGCAAGCAAACAAGCAACAAGACTAATGCTGTTGCTGATGGCAAGAACAAGGAAGGGTGATGTATTGTAGAAGAGAGGACTTTCAAGCAAAGGTGCCGAGTCCAGTTGGGCTGCAAAGAAAAGAATGCGTGTGGAAAATAATAGGGCAAGTCTGGGAAGATCAAAAACACGACTGCTTTTTATTCTCCTTCTGAGGTGAAGCAGCATGAACAAGAACAGGAAGAGCCCAGCACGCATCCCCGGGTGTCTGCTCTGTGATTTACACTCGCAAGGTGCAGCAGGAATAAGATCCATGGGTCCTGTTATAAAAGTGCCGCCGCATCATTGGGGGAATAAGATTAACCACATGAAACAGCATCCGATAAGACAGGACTATATATATGGCCGTGCCGAGCTGTGCGGTGGAGACCATAATTCTCTCTCCACAGAAAAATGAAGTCGGAAAGAGATGAAGCGCTCAAGGAAGTTTGCAGGGGTCTTGGAGGACTGGAAAGGAGAGATCTGGCTGATGGAAAGGAGAGGGGGTGGGGAGCATCCCAAGAAAGGGGAGCAATCCCACCAAGGATGAGAGAAAGAAGCATGCAGTGCCCTGGGATGATGCAGAGGCCAGCCTGCCCGAGAGAGTCCAGAGCAGAGGCTGACACTGAATGAGCCGGCTGGACCGGAGCATCCAGAGCTGAGAGTGTCAGACAGAGAGGCCAGGCTGAGCTGTGAGCTCATGGAGCCATTGAACTTTCTGATTTTTAATTAAAGTACAGTTGACACACAATACCACATTAGCTTTAGGTGTACAAGCACAGTGATTCAACATCTACATACCCCACCCAAGTCTAGTTACTGTCACCACACCAAGTTACCATGGAAGGCTTTTCAAGAAGGAAATGGCATGAAGAGAAGTCCTGCCCCATCTCCACGGCCTTTAGTCTTTATTTTCCTTCTATTTAAGATAGAGAGGCTCCTTGGAAGAGGTGGGACTTCTATTTAAGACTCAGGCATGGGGGCAGGCAGTGGGGAGAGGAGGGTGATGTACCCATGATAGTGTCCCCCAGGATGAGGCACTTCCTTTGGGGTTGCCTACCACCATCTGCATGACATCAGAGACAAGACCAGCTCTGAGGACGAGGGCTACATCTTATATGTCTGTATAGCCCTGGAACCCAGCAGAATCCCCAGTAAAAATCAGGTTCTCAGAAATGTTTAATAATGGACTCTGTCCATTCCAACCAGAATCCACAACCAGCAGCTCCGAACCAGCCTCTGATTGGCAAGGAGCTCAACTTGTATTCTTCTAAAGCATGGTCTTGTGGCTACTGAGCATACTAGACTCAGTACAGGAAGTCTCCACACTGAGCTGCAGGGAGCAGGCCTTCATCCCTGCCCCTGGGACTGGCTGTGGACACCAGCATCTTGGGAGAAGATATGGGAGACTGGCCATGTGCTTATGCTGCAAAGCTGGGAAGGATGGTTGCTATGTGAGAGACTTGGGTTCAAGGGTGTTATAATGCTTTTAACACACTGAAAGGATGGGCCAGAACTAAAAAGTCAACCTTTCCTCTATCGGTTTTTACTTTTTGCACAATAACATCATGGCAGCCATAAATATAATAATTTTGAAGAAAACGTACAAGTGCCTACAATCCCATCACTCTCTAAACCATTAAATTATATTATGTGCACATGAAAATCTATTTTTATTTTTTACAGAATTGTAGAAAATTTCTGACAAGAATATATACCCTAAATCCTACTCTCACATTCAAAAATCAATTGCAAAAACACAGCATAGGTGACCTGTTGTGTGTGTGTGTGTGTGTGTGTGTGTGTGTGTGTGTGTTTTAAGTGGGCTGAATCAAATGCATTTCAGGATGAGCCCAGGGTGTGGTGTCATTGCCAAACCCATGAATCATGATCTTAGGTATATTAATAGTCATACCATGTCCCACTGAGGGGCACATGGTCACTTACTTTGTGTTTGTTGGTGCAATTCTGGCACCATATTTTAATAACTTGGATAGTGATGAGTAGAAGAGAGAGATGGGCGAAGGCATCTAGCAGTTAAAGTACCGGTAAAACCTTCAGTAGTTAGTAGTGCAGGCTCATGAATCAGACTGCACAGCTCTGGTCCTTACTACAGTGTGACTTGGGCAATTACTCAGCTTCTCTGTGCCTCAGTTTTTCATCTGTAAAATGGGGCTGACAAGGGCTCTTCCTCTGAGATTAGTTGTGAGGACTGAAGATTTCATAGACTGAAAAGTGCCCAGCAGGTCCTTGCACAACATAAGCACTCACTGAACGCCAGCTATTGCTGTTGCTATTTTCATCGTTAGGAGCGGTGAAGTTGAAGATATGGAAGAAGCTCGAGTTGTCCTTTCATTTGTCCCTCTCTAATATCTCCCTTTGGTCCTAGAAATCCTGGCAAAGCAGCATCCTTTCTCCCATACGGTGGTCCTCCAAACATTTGAAGAAACCATGCAAGAGAAACTGCGCTCCTTAGGACTGCAGGATGGATGTTAGAGGAAGCCAGTCTTCCATTCAACATAAGAAAGAAATTTACAATAAAAATTAAAAAAAAGAAAGAAAGAAATTTCTAGCAGTGAGAACCATCCAAACCTGAGCTGGGCTTCCTCAGATACAGTGAGCTCTCCACACAGGACAGAGGATCCTGCATCCGTGAGAAGCTACTCCAAAGCATGGTCTCCCAGACTCGGTCTCACCCATCAGCACAATATCACAAATAGCAGGAGACTGAGAGAGCTGACAAACTTATGTATGGACAAAATACTAAGTGTCTCTTTCACACCAAGTAATTCAACCCCCCCCAAAAAAAACCGATAGAGGAAAGCAAAAAGAGCCATCCTTTGAGTTGAACAGAGCATCATGGAAAGCATTTTCAGCCCGTGCCTGCCTCTCACACATACATGCACACATGTATAATGCATACATATGTACACATGTGCACATGCAACCTCTCCACATTGTCCTTATTTTGCCCTCGTGACCATGAACGAGCAGAAAGTCTTCCTGAACTGGCACTGACCCGGGACCCACGCTGGGGAGTCATCTGTGTGCATGAGGTTTTAGGCCTTTCCCAAGTCAGCGCTCTGTGGTCCCGGCAGGCGAGCGATCGTGTAAAGGCGTTCAGATAAGCGCCCACGCAGTAATGCAACCAGCATTGAAATGAAGGCTTGTTTTACTCACCATGAAAATGAAATGGAACCATAAATGAGATTGACCAGTCACATAAATAGGAGGAAATTCATTAAATGGTAAATGAGGAGGGAGTTGTTGAATGCCCATGTTTGTTTGGAAAGGAGGTGGGGAAAGGGACAGAAGAAAACCTCCATAGGAGGTAGCACGTACTCAAGGACAGCTGAGCGAGCACCATGACGCTCACTGGGTAAGCCGGGAGGATGGAGAGAGATGAGCCATGGTTTGAGATGGAGAGCAGTAGACCAGGGCATCACAGACATGGGCTTGTGTCCTGACTGTCGTTAATTTAGGACCTGGTAGCCAATACTGGCTCTGAGACAGTAACCCAGCCAGTATTGCATGGGCTTCCTCAGAAGAACCGATGCTGATTCACAACCGTCCTCAGTCCCCTGGGCCACAGGCAGCGCTGGGCACCCAGTTGTAGAGACACTGGAAAAGGTGCCTAAGTCACATTCTCCAGGCCCAGCCCAGACCCAAGACTCTGTTCTTGGGGCTGTACCTGTACAGAAGACCCTATAAAGGACTGTTGGCACTGACAGGCTAATCCTAATAATTTTCCTGTCTGGGAGAAGGAGTTAGAGACACTCATAACCTGATTACAGAAGGCAGTGAGGAGGGGAGGACTTCCATACAGAGCAGTGTGGGCTCCCAAACGGCAAGGCCCCTGCAGAGGCCACCCCTCCGTGGCCAGAGGATCCGCTCACAGGGCAGCCTGCCTGGCCCTGAGGCCATCCTCTGAGGTGTGAACACATCAAGAGTAAGACTTGCTTATTCTCACCAGGAGTGTCACTGCTCTCCTTCCATCCCAGGTCACTGACCTGCCTTGAGCATCCTGTCTTCTCCTGGGCCCAGCTTCCAGCCTCTTCCCATCCTTATCTACCCACCACCTCCCAACAACCCGAGATCTCTCTGAAACACACATTTCATCTCATCCACTCGTCCTTAATGCCCTTCAATGACTCCTCATTGCCTGGCAGAGGTGGTCAGCTGGCAGCCCGCAGGTGAACCCTGACCTGTACGGTGTCTTTGTAAATTCTGCCACCATCTAAAAAGTGGAAAATCTCACTTAAAAATCCAGATTTCTAACTTTTCTTAAAGACCTGGATGACCTGACGATGCCAATCCTGCATTTCCATGTGGCAATCATTGATCTTGAGTACCAACTGCCCCTTAATCTGGCCCAGGCCCTCCTCTGTGACCTACAGAGAGAAGCAAAGCGTCACCCGAAGTCTCTCCTGTCACAGGGCCAGACACCTGGAGGCTGACGCAAGCTGCCTGCTGAGGAGTTTCAGGTTCAAGGTGACAGCATGGGTGGGTCAGGCAGGGTAGCTCACTCTGTTCCCAGCTGGAGG